TACCTTTGATTTTTTTTTCTGTGAGTAGAAAATGACAACGATAAACTTCGGCAACTATAGTTGCTGGTGGGGCCAAATTGGTTGGATTAAACTTTCTTTGGTGCTACTGGCTGGTCTCTGAGAACCGAAGTGCCACAGACAGCTTGTTTATTTATGTCTATAGCCTCCTTTTGAAAACATGAAGGTCCAGGAATATGCAGGCATGAAAGAGGACTTATTATCCCTGTTTTCCCCTTTTTCCCTGTGCTTACAGAGTGGAGATGATTTTTATTGTAGAAACTGAAAGGTTGGAGAGAAAAGAAATCTGATTTACACAGTAACACAGGAATTTTAGGGAGAAGCCGTTGACGCTTGGGTGGACATACACAGATTTTGCCTTCATAGCGACCTGCTCACCGCATACAGGGATACTCTGACATGAAGCATGCACTTATTCTGGCAATGTTTCAAACCAAATGGATTGTCCTCAAGGCTTGCATTCTACATTATTCATATAAGAGAAAATAGTTTTTTTCAACAGTTGCACACAAAAACAAAAGTAAATGACCAGTTTGACGGCTGGTAATCAAGATGCATATGGCATGTAAATGACTCCATGGAGCAGAACTGCGGGCTTTAACATAATGTGCATTTTCTTTTAGAAACCATACTCAATAAACTATATTGCATTTGAACTGACCCCAAAATATATGTCACTGCTAACTCTTTTCATAGAGATTCCAGACGAGTTTTGTGCAGAATGAGGTGGGTGCAGGGAGAGAGCAGCACGGGCTGATAACAGCCGAGCCACATGAGTGTTCCTACGGTCTCTCTGGGACCTTAAAAAAGCACTGGGCTGCCTTTGAATTCTGCTCTCCGCCAAAGGGAGGACTACTTGAATGGCTCGGGAAGAGATGAATGCTGAGTGAATGTGAAATGAGGCGATGGAAGGAATCAGAGAGGCTCCTGTATCTGCATTAGTCTTTTCAGCACAGGCTCTTCACTTTCTCCTTTCTTATGTGCCACATCACACCTCTGCCTATATTCTCCTCTGTAATCAACCCTGCCACTCATACAGATACAATGGTCTTTTTGGGTCCCAAAGACCCATGAGCTATTTTTTCCACATAGATTATTTCAACATTTCATGGTTTGGTTGCTTTTGTTCACAAAGATTCTATATATTCGGGAACTTGGTCCAGGGATCATATGCAAAGAGAGCTTGGTCTCAAGTCTATGTGTAAAGCGGTACATCAGTTTTACCACAAATCTGGATCGCGGAATGACTGCATCTTCATATATCATATCGTAAGATACAGGTCTTTAAACAATATTTGTAAAATTAAACTTGTGTTCAGATACCAATACAAAAATCTCAGCCATTATTTTAACATAGATTACAAACACTGGTAAATGTTGAACTACTACTTGCGTCTGTAATAAATCACCAAACAACATCATGTAAAGTTTGTGTCACAGACTTACCAGTTTTAGAGTGTCAACAGGGTAATTGGAAAGATTTTAATTTAGGCTACTTACTTCTTCACTTTCTTCACTTCTCAACCCACTCATTCAAATTGCAAAGTCTCAAGACTAAAAATAAAATAAAACTTTTTTTTTTTTTTTTTTTTGCTTTCCCATTGACCAATCAAATCATTCAATTATTCTATAGTAAATTAGCAGTGCGGCCACAATTGACAGGTTATATGATAATGCATGGAAGATTATTACAGTCTTGCACACATTTGCACACGCACACAGTTTGACTTTCCGACACAGCAGGACTGAGCTGTAATGAGGACATTAGCTGAGAGGCGCTGTGCATCAGATCATTTAAATGGAAGATCACACCAACAGCACAGCTATAACCTCTTTGCCAGCCGGCTGGGAGCTCTGAATCAAACACATGTCATGCTCACAGCACAGCAACTATAAAAGCACCTTAGATTGAATCACTTTCTTCACTTATGGAAACGAATAGATTTCGTTCTTATGTTTATAGAGAAAACACTGGATTTGCACAGAACTGTATACTCATGTCCCATATTAATTAATTCCCAACATATGTCACACTCAGTTGCTTTATTTCTTGGAATATATTATTTTTCTAGAACTGGAGATCAGCAGCGCTTGGACATAAGTGGCGCATGGACAAGTGTTTGTCAGCACGCGTCACTGGCAAAGAGTCAGAGATGATCCAGAGAGGTCCATGGTGTTATCCCTCAGGCAAAGAAAAATGAGATGGTGTATGAAGCCATTAAGTCTATAACACTGAAAACACCAGATGCATTTGTGCCATTACTGCTTCATGGTCTTGCATAGGAGAGGGCGAAGCCAGGGAGCGGGCTGACCCATGTGAAAGGCAGATAAGACCAGGCTGGTAATGTGATGCTTCTGATAACAAAAATACTTCCTCCCTGTATCGGGTGAACCCTTGGCTTTATTCCATAACTAATGAAGGAAGTGGGGTGTTTCGATGTGACTCTGAACACGGTTAGCACTGGCTCCATTTAGATTTCTGGGGCAAGATACAAAGGATAATTGTGTAGACATTATCGTGACCAAAGAGCTCAAGTGTGTAAATGCATCTGCAGACAGTACAATGTCAATTAACTTTTTAAAATCAGAATCCAGATCAATGGCAAAGTTAATGTGGAAAAAAATGTCCAGATAAGACTCTTGAGAGGTGGTACAAGCTTAATTGGATTGTGCGCAAGCTTTAATGCATTTTAGATGAGATGTCCTAGTGCATGCACCTAAACTATGCTAATAGCGAAAGTTACATTATTTACACAGTTAATGACTCTGTTTGAAGTTTCTTGTTTTATTCCCAGCACCTGTTAGTTGTACCCTTACCCTAATTCAACTGGAACAATAAGTAATTTAATAATTGGTGTAATTAGTGTTAATGACAGTACAGACAATCTAATTAGAATGTGTTTAACAGCAATTTCATTAAAAAGAAAACTATAGAAACACAAGCTAATTCTCTAATTAACTGTCGTGTTTAAAATATCTTGGCAGAAGTCCCGGTATGAAATGGAAAAGTAAATAGAAAAGTGCAAAAACAACTGTATGTGTTGTATTTTGAATTTAATAATTCTCTCTTTTACTCCAGTTTTCCATAACTCAAAATCAAGATTAAAAAATAAATTTAAAAAAATGCAATAACAGACAAACCTATGACAATAATAAAATAATCAACATAGAAACAGAAGGACCAGGAAAGACTGGACATGCGACAAGAAAAGAAAGGGAACATTGAGGTGTGTGTGTGTGTGTGTGTGTGTGTGCACGCGTATACAGTATGTAAGTGTACGTACTGTATCTGGGGAGGAAGGATTAGCGATATTATCTATTGTTGTATATTTTTTATTTACAGCACATTTTTGCAGACCAAGGTCACCCAAAGCGCTTTACAATGTTCAGCAGTCAGATATTGTTCCATTCACCCCATGCACACACAGTGATGACGGAACTCGCTACATTCATTCCAATTGTACATGTTTTTAATGGTAGGGGAAACCGGAGCTCCTGGAGGAAACCAGAGCAGACACGGGGAGAACATGCAAACTCCACCAGAGAGACCCTGTTCCGACCGGGATTCAAACCCAGGATAGGATATTGCTCACATACAGAATTCCCTATGGCTCAAACAGTTCTCTTGGGACTTGATGCTGTTTTAAATGGCACTACTGAAGTGGACCCTATACATCCATACACACGCCTATACTTTTCTCAAGTTTTGGGGTCAAAGTCATAAAAAAAAAAACCTAATCTGAAACGCAACTATGCTTTTGTGTATCTGGTAAATAGCAATTATATTAGGGTACTACACAAACTGTACCGCTCTGGTTAATAGATCATTTATTTCCAATGTAGATGACTTTATTTCCCTCCTGAATCCATGCTAACCTTGGCTCCAGTGCAAACATTGCCATTAGCAGAGCAAAAATGAAGAAAAGGCCCACCAGAGACATTTTATTGTTGGAAAAATCCTTCATTGTTGGCTGTCATTGTAAGATATATATTTGCATAGTAAATTACAATAATTGAGTACAAGATAGTGCACCTATTTAAAGAAAGAAGGCCAAGCGGGGGGCTGACTAAACATGACTGACTTGTCCCTTCTTGAATAATTGCTGCAGCTTTGCCTAATTGAAACTTTGCATATTGTAACAGGGTTGAAAATGTGCAGGCTCCCTAAGGTGAAACCTGGGGAATGACTAGCAACACAGCACAATTGGGTAGAGAATGCATAAATACATAATGTGGGCCAGCCAATTTGCAAGGTGACATGGCATGGTACATTCTGTCGGACTGAAAGAGGTCTGCTTTACTCATAAAAAGCTTTTGTTTGTCGTTTAGTTTGGCTTTGTACATTTATAAGACCACACACCACTTGCGGTCTGTGTGCCTGTGCTTGTCATGGTTACCTATTTATTTGTAATTGTCGTATTTATTTTTCGCTCTTATTATTATCACAGCAGTTCTTTTCATGAGAAGTTTCAATTGATTTGAAATAAAAATATATATTTACAAGAAAATCATTCATTCACCAGCACAAATAAACGCTATATACATTATTGAGCTGCTTAACACCTACTTATTATTTTTTTTACTTAAAAACGTCTCAAAAATGTGTTAAGAATCATAACTGAACCCTGTAACACAAACAAAAGATTGGACTCTTTGTGAAACTGAAACTTCAAAGTCCGCCCGGATTTTCTCTGATATAAAGGAGGTGTCTGGGGATAGGATCTCTCAGGCTGAATCCATGTTAAAATAATTTGCTGCTATTCAATTTTTTAGTTTGGAGTTAAGTTTACACTGTAACTGGTCTTGGTTCATCCCAAAGAAAAAGGCAATATACAGTATGTATTTTAATATTTCACATTTACAGGAGTTTGATGGTTGTATTTGATCAATTGGCTGACAAAAAATAGTAATTTAGTTTCTTGTACAGACACATCGGTAAAGTAATGGGTTAAACACTGATATTTTGTCCTTTCTTTCCACAGTTGGAGGTTTCAACCACAGACTTTGCTGGGAACTTGGTGGAGGGGCCGACCATCCTTGTGATCACCGTCATTGACCAGAATGACAACCGGCCCATCTTCAAAGAGACGCGCTACACAGGAGAAGTGCTCGAGGGCTCCCCCACAGGTCAGTCAAGGCTCTGCAGACACACTGTATCAAAGTGCTGCCAATATTCTGTAGTGTTTACCCAGCCGACAGTGTAGGCTGTGCTTTAGGGGCGACAGTGGCTAAGTTGGAGGAACATTGGTTCTTTGGGCCTGATGGTCGAGGGTTCGAGCCCACCACGAGACCTACTTCCCACTGATGTCTGCTATTGTTGTGTTGTTGGGCTTAACCCCACTTTGCCTGAAGCCCCCGCTGAAAGATCAAGGATCCTGTGGACTCACTACCTGCAGGAGGATCAGTGAGGGTTTACAGTTGGGTGCAGCTCTGAATGCCACCCCCGACCCAGAAATGGATTAAGGGGAAGAAAATGGATGGATTTGTGTTTTGCCAAACAAATATGTAAGAATAACATGCTGAGAGCTGTTCCTTTTTGCGTTCAGCTCGTTGGTGTTTTTTATTCAAGGTATTACATTATTTTGTTGTTTCCTCTCTATTTTGATCTTGGACATTGATTTACTCGGAAAGTTTCAGTAAAGGTGCAATGCAATAGAGTTGTGATGTACAGTATTTGCTTGAGACTTCAGTATGTTCTAAGTTGTACATTATTTAGTTACAGATGTTTCTTATCTATTGTCAGCTCTCCTCTCCATAGAAATGAGGTGTACATTACTGTAGTGAAATCACAAACTTGTCTCTCATGTAGATAGAATATTGAAATATTGACACCATATTTTGGACCCGAACACAATTCTGACCTTCAGATGGACCCGAGCAGGAGTAAGACCTGCACCCTGCATTCTGTGGAATGCAGCTTTCAACAATCAGTTCTACACATTTCACTACTCAAAGAAACATGACACATTATGTGGGATACAAAAAGGTGTGATGTGAGTAACTTTGATGCCTGGCTGCTTTTAACTTGCTGCTCCTCTGTGTTCAGAGCTTCTCTGCTGTAAATCTTCACGTTCTTGTCACATTCGAAGTATTGATACCGTTCTCTGAGCCAATGTCACTGATGGATCACAGTATTAAATGTGACAGACTTGTCAGTGTCTGGCAAAGCAATAACTACTTTATTGATGTTCAGTATTCTATTTTGGGGTCCATGTTTTTAGGCCCGAGCCCCAACAGGGCGTCAGGCCTATTATTTTCCCAACGAGGAATGCCTCGACCCAATGAAGAACTTCACATTGTGCAGGGGAAGCGGCATGTGCCTACATTGATTTCTGCTCACGTTCAGTGAAAAACATGACTTTCACTCATGTAGCTCAAAATGGATCCACATGATCTAAACAAGTGTAGCATCTACACTTCAATCATCAATCATCTTGATGATTGATATCATCAATAGTGATCGGTGATATCAACAGAAAAAAAGTGAATATAGTATAAAAGTTAATCAACCAACAGAAAAGAACAACATATAAATGCTTACTCTACATTGCTTGCCCAACACTCTGCATATCCCTGCTGGTGATGTCCTGTTTCCTCCTGTCAGATTGGCACACAGAGGTGGTGCTGATGATGAAATTAGTAGAAATGGGAGGCCTCCGCCTGAGCTGTCCTGCTGTTCACCTGCAGCTGTGCTTCACTCAGAGTCCTCTAACCTTTTAGATTGCACAAAACTATTTTGCTCCACAGGTAGATGGGAAAAGTGTTACCTTTTTACATCACTTTAGCCACTAACCAGCATCAATGCAACAAAGCACCCTCATTTTGTTAATAGTCTGCATTAGAAGAAACAGGCCAATCATCATAACGACTGGGAATGAAATACACACATGGATGGTATTATTGTGGCCATCCATGAAGCTGAAAGTAAGATAAGATAAGATACACTTTCGATTTCACAATGGAGAGATGTACATGAGTGATTCTATCTTTGACAAAGACAGAATCACTCAGAATCACTCAGGGTGTGCAAGAAGTGTGCAAGCATGTCAAAAGGTTCAAATGTAGTCTTGCCGTGTACATAACATGATTTTTTTTCTACAGTTTTATTCTCACCATCTGAAGTTAAATGTTTTTTTTTTCTGTTTTAGGTCAGTGGTTTTAAAACAATTATTTAAATCAATCAATCTTTATTTGAAGAGTGCTTTTCCTTTGCTGGGTAACAAAAAGTGCTTCACAGTCTTTGTGGGCCACCTCGCTCGCACATGTCTCTTGAGATCTGCTCATGCATTTATCTGATTGATGTGATTGAGATCAGAGCTTTGAGATGGGACAAAAAAGACTTTGTCATGACACAACCCAGCAGTGTAGATGACTTGATGATGCACTGCATGTTGTGTAAATTGGCCACTTTAAGCATCTTGACAATTATTTGTTTAAGTTAATTACTTTTCTTACATACTTTCTTCCGAATCCTATTTTTGTGTTGGAGTTTAAGTGACCACAGCTTCATGGCAAGAAAATCACATCTGAGTGCTGGTCCTGCAGGAGCTCCTGCAAAACGCCTGAATCATCAGAGTATTTCCTGACCATACAAGTTAACTCAGACTTCTACCTACTCAGCACCTGTCCCTTTTCACACCATGTCCCATACGTCCCATCCGACTGCTAACTCGATAAAGAGTGAGATTTTTTTGTGTGCAATTGGTTTGAAGATAAATAAAATAAAATAATTATCAGAAAGTTACCACAGATATAACTGTATTTATGTTGCTAGGATTTGTTTGCATACAGGGCTCCAATTTAGAATAAGAAGCGTGTTGATTAGTATAATTCTTGTTGGACTCTAGAACACTTTAGCTTTTAGCTTGTTTATGATACATGAATCAAATGATAATAAATCTTTAACCTTACTGTACATGTATCATTTAAGTTATTATGAATGGGCTCAAATTGAAATAATGTCTCACAAATAAAACTCCTGCTCACTACATCTGTCTACACTTTAAAACTCTTTACATCCAATTTCATGTCGTTATTGATGTTTAGACAGAAACACATTTATCTTTCAGTGCTTCTGCCTCTCTCTCTCTCCTACATTCTGGGGGAAGAATTGCACTTCAATCTTCTTCCTTATTCATAATGTATAAATGTGTTGGAGATTTATTCAACAGTTAAGTCATCTTTTGGGTAAATATCCCCCACATGACACAAAAAGTACCTCTTAAAGTACTTTTATGAACGTCACCATAACATTAAAGTTTATGACAGAGGCGTTTCCAAGTCATCCATGAGGGAAAGGGCACAGTACTCAATTTTTTTTGCATATGAATAATGAACATCAAACTACCGTAAATTTTAGTACCTAGACTGTGCGCTATTTCAATACAGAAAGAAAAACAGAAAGTCCTTCTCTTGCGCAAAGACCCAAAAAAAATTAGTGCTGCTTTAAGATATTCAGACTAGTTTCCTTTCAACGAACATTCACGTATTTTGTTATTTTGTGTTTTAATAATTTGGACGTATGGATGAGGGTGAATTGCAGCCTGCTAGCATACAGCCAGACACACAAGTAATCTGAAGAAAATGAAGTTTGATTTTTTTTTTGGTTGCAAAATAGATGGTTGTGACAGCTCTTTGGCACATGTGTTGCTGGTTGCTATGGATGCCAGACCTAATTGAGCTCTGAGATAAGGGGAAGGATGCAGCTCTGTACACAGCAGTTTTATTGCCTTCACTTGATCACAATAATGTACACAATAATCTGCTTAGCCGCCATGTCAGCTCAGACTCGATGAGCTCACCATTATTAAATCAATCACTCAGATTACATTTAATAGGCTGTCTATCTGTGGGACGGCTGCTACACACACAAAAACAATTGTGGGCAAGTCTTCCACATTTAGACTTGTCATTTTATAGTGATATTATTTTTGTCTGAATGGAGGCTTTGTCGAATTTGAATAATTATATTTGTTTTAATTTACAGGGATGTAAAAAAAGAAAAAGGGCGACACGAGCTCAGTTGGGGGCGACAGTAGCTCAGTTGGTAGAGCATTGGCCTTTGAGCCTGAAGATCTTGGGTTCAAGCCCACCATAAGACCTACTTCACGACTCCCACTGATGACTGCTGCCGTTGTGTCCTTGGGCAAGACACTTAACCCCACTTTGCCTGAAGCCCCCACTGAAAGATCTCAGCTCCTGTGGACTCACCACCTGCAGGAGGATCAGTGAGGGGCTGGTGCTCTGTGAACTGGGTGCAGCTCTGACTGCCACCCCCCCGACCCAGAAATGGATTAAGGGGAAGAAAATGGATGAATGGATGGATGGATGTAAAAAGACATATTCAATTCATGAAAGCTCAAAATTGAGCTCAGGTGCATCCTGTTTCCACGGATCATCCTTGAGATGCTTCTATTGCTTAATTGGAGTCCACCTGTGGTAAATTCAGTTGGTTTGACTTGATTTGGAAAAGCACACTCCTGTATATATAAGGTCTCACAGTTGAGTACATGTCAGAGCACAAACCAAGCATGAAGTCAAAGGAATTGTCTGTAGACCTCCGAAACAGGATTGCCTCGAGGCACAAGTCTGGGGAAGGGTACAGAAACATTTCTGCTGCTTTGAAGGTCCCAATGAGCACAGTGGCCTCCATCATCCGTAAATGGCAGAAGTTTTAATTGGGAGACTAGTCAAGATAAAAGGAAAGATGAATGCAGCAATGTACAGAGACATCCTGGATGAAAACTTGCTCCAGAGCGCTTTTGACCTCAGACTGGGGTGACGGTTCATCTTTCTGCAGGACAACAACCCTAAGCAAACAGCCAAGATAACTTCAGGACAACTCTGTGAATGTTCTTGAGTGACCCAGCCAGAGCCCAGACTTGAATCCAATTGAACATATCTGGAGAAATCTGAAAATGGCTGTGCACAGACACTCCCCATCCAAAATGGAGCTTGAGAGGCGCTGCAAAGAGGAATGGGCAAAACTGCCCAAAGACAGGTGTGCCAAGCTTGTGGCATCATAGTCAAAAGGACTTGAGGCTGTACTTGATGCCAAAGGTGCATCAACAAAGTATTAAGCAAAGGCTGTGAATACTTATGTACATGTAGGTTTTTTATATTAATACATTTGCAAGAATCTCAAAAAAACTTTTCATGTTATCATTATGGGGGTGACATGATGGCAATTAGCAGAAATGGGAGGCCTACGCCTGAGCTGTCCTGCTGTTCACCTGCAGCTGTGCTTCACTCAGAGTAGTCCGACTTTTTATTTAGATTGCACAAAACTATTTTGCTCCACAGGTAGATGGGAAAAGTGTTTCCTTTTTACATAACTTTAGCCACTCCAATCAGCATCAATGCACTACAGCATGCTCATTTTGTTGTTAGTCTGCATTAGACGAAACATAGGTCAATCATCATAATGACATGAGTGATTCTATATTTGACAAAGATAGAATGACTGATTATTATTACAATGATAACTATTATCAGTTGAGAATTGCCCGACCGTTTCTTGTCCACGTGTCAATTCACACAGCTTTTTTTGTGTACATTCCGTGGCACACGCTGTTTCTTTTCTACATGCTGATTTACACGTATTTTCTTTTTTTGTACATGCCACCAATCAGCTATGGCAGGTGCTTTTTCACAAAAGGAGCCTTCCCTTACTGATTTTTAAGCCGCTCAATAATACTGAAAAACATAGGGTGAGGGTTAGCAACTTGCATCCTATAAGTGCATCCGCAAAGTATTCACAGCTCTTCATATTTTTCACATTTTGTTATGTTACAGCCTTATTCAATTCATTTTTCCCCCCTTAAATTCTACACATAAAATCCCATAATGACAACGTCAAAAACATTTTTGGGGAGATTTTTGCATATTTATTATAAATCAATATGCTTTTGCCAAGTATCAATTGAAAAAAAAGTTTTTTTCTTTTATTTATGCCAATATGTGCTGTATTTGAATCCAGAGTTAAGAATTAGTTCATAACTTACACTTATAACTATTTTGTGTTTATTCAGATTGCTTTACTAAAAGCTCTCTATAAAAGTATATTTCTGACCAATATATCGATAGTCGTCATATCGCGATATAATCGTTATCGTGAGGTACCCTGAGGTTCCCACCCCTAGGCGTCATGTTTGGAGGAAACCGGGCACTGCTCATCACCAAGCCAATACCATCACTACAGTGTAGCATGGTGGGTTATTTTGTTGTTGTAAATTTACAAGAATCTCCCTTCTGCACATACAGATTTTAAGGACAATATATCCAGTCAAGTCAGTATGTTTCTAACATTAGCCTCCTAGGAACTGACCTCTACTCCATTATCTAGACCTATTATTTCTGAAAAAGTGAAAGGAAAAACAGCCCCTCCCCACCCCTGCCGGGAGAGAGAAAAAAAGAATAAATAAATAGATAATAATATAACAATAATAAATCTGATAGTTATAATAGTAATACTAATAATGACAAAGAAATAACAGAAACAAAAAGAAAAAAATCACCACAGAAAGGAGTTACCATGAAATTAAATTACAAAAGAAATATATATATATATACATTACATAAGTATATATGTATGTACATATATGTATGTATGTACATGTATATACAGGGTTGCACATAAGTGGTACGCAGGTAAAATGCGTACTATCACTTGAGTTAGAAAGCGCCTTTGCGTACTTCACATGGACCAGTCCTTCTCAAAT